TTTTTTGTTTTTTTTGTATTGAGATTCTAGTTCTAGATTCATTGCATTATTTCTTCTCTAGTTTTTCTTTCAGTGATTCCTATCTTTTCCCATTAAAAATGTTTTGAGTATATTTTTACATCTGTTCTGAGTCTTACTTGTTGATATTTCAGGTATTTAGCCCTATAGATGTGATCAAGCGCCCATCAGACTGCAGACAATATCCTCAATCCGTCCCAAGCACAAATACTTAAGTTATCAACCTTCACTTATCTAGGCCTTAATTGCCTTGAGCGTAATTAGCGATATTCTGACAGCAACGTTCAATTCTCATTYATGGTAATCGAAAATCTTGACTTTGGAATTGAATTTAGCAAAACAAGAATTATGTGTCAATCGTCTAATATCAACAGTATAAAAGCTATGAAATCTGCCTGAATGTTCAGAAGAGCAAATTACGGCTAAACGGAGAGTTAAACTTTTAGTTTCCATGGCGCACGAGCAAAATATTTCAACAGGCAAGATGAACATCTCAACAGAGTTACAGAATTTTGAGTCGTATATACCAGACAGTGATGGGGTTATAGTCGTTAAGGCTRTTGCGTGTGGGATTGTCACTTTGGTAGCGTTGGTTGGAAACTCGCTTGTCATAGCCGCAATTCTTCAAAGCAAGAAAATGCGAACTGTAACTAATTATTTGATCATGAACGTGGCTATAGTCGATATTCTGTACGTGGTTGTCGCTATGCCAATCTTTTACATGAATATTTTCAACTATTTTTGGTCCTCGGAATCGATATTTTTTGAATTCTTCTGCAAGGCTGTGAACTTCAGCCAGTACATGTTACAAGCCGCATCAGTCTTAACCCTCGCAGCCATTGCTGCGGATCGTTATTTCGCGATCATGATGCCCTTGAAGAGAATTCTCACTAAAAAAGCATTCCTATTTCTCTTGGGTCTGGTATGGTTCGCCTCTGCAAGCGTCGCGGCTCCTCTTCTCTACGCCTACAAAGTTGTCAAGTACGATAACTACACGACTTGTGCCGAAGACTGGTCTCCAGCTTTCGACCCAAATACCTCGAGCAAACTCTACACGATAGTTTTATTCATTGTCGCCTATTGTGTCCCTTTTCTTGCGATGACTTTTGTCTATTCTGTCATATCGAAAAAACTGTGGACCCGAAAGGCTATCGGTGAAGGACCACTCAATTTGAGTGCAAAGAAGATTCTAGAATCGAGAAAAAAAGTCGTCAAAATGTTGGTAACTGTGGTGGTTGTGTTCGTCATTTGTTGGCTACCAGTTCAGATTATTAGTCTATGGGGATACTTTAATGATATTGTGTTTTTCTCGCAATGGCTTGTCTTTGTGTGCATGTTTGTAATGCGCGCGCATCCGGCTTTAAACCCCTGTATCTACGCCATCTTTAGCGAGAATTTTAGGGAAGGGTTCAAGATGGCGTTGAGGGGCTTCTGCTGCCGGAAAAAGAGATTTCGAAAGAAATTGTCCAAGAACAATATGAACACTATAAGAATGTCTAGCCGTTTTGATAGGAACAATGGAGAGTCGCTTTTGAAGGGATATCGGGAAAAGAAGGATGCAAATAATGATACCTCAGACGAGCAGGACATAGAAATGACTGCCAAAGTCTCAGTCATATGACATGCATAAAGAAACACCAAAAGAAAAAAGACGAAAAAGGCGTCGAGGATGTGTATAATAGTAGCCTTCGTACGAGTGCAAAACTCATAGCCGTACCGTACCATATTTTGACAACTGTAAATTACGAGGTTTTGATTGGACGATTTTACGAAAACAATTGGAAGCCATTAAGTGCTATAACATAATTACTGCATGTAAGTTTTCCCCAAACATACGACATCACACCACTTAGAGTAAAGTACGTTCTTATAACTGAAACTTCACGGCACGCCGCAGTGTCACGCTACGAAATTGACAACATTTTTTGATTAGCCAATCACAGCGCACGGGATTTATGCAAATCCAATTAAATTGCTTGAACACGACACTGTCACGCTTTATCTGAAGCGTAAGTTTTTCATAGTCATAAGAAATTTGCTTTAATCACACGCTATGTATAACCAATGTAACATAATGGGAACAAATTCTAATGTGTGTGATAAATATTTATGAAAAGTTATGTATCATCGCATTATTGTGTACATACGTGTCTTGAAATTGAAGTCTGATAWTGCTAGTTTTCAATCATTCCCAAAGGAATGAAACAACAAAAGACACGGCGGCCATGTTGGTTGACATTACATTCAACCAAGATGGCGGCTATGACGTCATATTCAAATAAATAATATCCTAATTGCCTCACAAAAGTTTTATTTTTTTAGCACATAAAAAGATAATCCAGCAAGAGTACGTTTTAGAACCATTGCCAATACTTTGATTTTAGATGGATGATTGACGTCCAACTTATGAATTGGTGGAGACAATCCACGTTGCAATTCATTGAAAACGGCTGTWAATACGATAAGTAGGATTTAAATATAGGAGTCTAAAATTTTAAATATAACTCTGTAATTTTAGATACGATACATTTACACGACTGCAAAAATSTCTATCTCTGTCCTTTTTTCACGAGGTTACACTTAATAGCCAGTGGCTAACAAACCTGTGGCACTTATTCCCTTGTCGAATTGGAATTAAGGAGTTGGTTTTTGCGGAGGGAGGAAAACCGGAGAACCCGGAAAACCCTCGAAGCACAGGAGAGAACCAACAAACAACTCTACTCATATACAACACCAAACCCGGCGAGACTCAAACTCGGGTCGCATCGATGAGGCGAGCGCTCACACCGCTACACCACCCGTGCTATACACAAGACTGTCTTTGAATGAAAATTTCAAGATTAATCTCATTCCAACTGTTTTTGATCTTAAAATGATCTATAGCTATATCTATTGCTAATAGCGAAAAATAGGTGCATGTGCTAGCATTTTCAAATCGCAATAAGCTATCGCTTTAGAAACTGCATGACCCAAATAAGTGCATATTATAACCCCCTAGAGAAAGGTGAATTTCTTAGGCCATAGTTTCATTCACATATTATTGTTATATCCAAATGCTATAAGCATGCATATTTACATCAAATAATATACATTATCATTCCCATTTTGTCCAAGTGTCATTACCTAGAGAATTATTTCCTTGTTTAACAATTGCACACGAGAAGACACATATAGGTTTCTATCAATAGACGTCACTTCCGGTAATAGCTCTTTTTTGATGGCTTGTAGAAGCCTGGAGGTTGTTTTAATCTCTTGTTTTCTGGTTTGATGTCGTGAAAATAGTCAAATACAATAGTTTGAGGACTTATTTTGATATGTTTTGACTTAGCATCCGCTAGTTGCCCCCCAGTCAACCGCTTGTTTGCCCCCCAGCCAACTCCAAAAAGTCACGTGATTGATAGTAAGCAATATGGCAACTCGATTAAAGAATCTTAMGGTGTGGACACACGGTGCAACGTTGCACACAACATTGATTCGTTGCAACAAAATCACGCAACATCGCTTGTGTCAGCCTGCTAAGTTAAGAAATTTGGTCAGCGGTTATGAATTTGGTGCAAGCCGATTGGCTGGAATTTTCGAAATGTTGCACGCAATGTTGCAACCATGTTCACACGATGAAATTTGTTGCGCGCAATGTTGCAAGAGTAGAGCGCCATTCAACTTCAGATTGTTGCATGCAACAAGTTTCGAGGGTAAACACGCGCTGAATCAGTCCTGCTGCGTGCAATGTTGTACCGTCTGTGCGTACATTTAGTCTTAAACGGGAAAACAATAATAATAATAATAATATTATTATTATTATTATTATTATTGAAGGCATTAACCAATAACAATAACCAAACATTTTTTGCTGTTTTGTTCTCAAGTGGAGTCTTTATAGCCTCCTCAGAAAGTTGGGCAAACCGGTCAGCCATTTTGGACTTTTTCTACTAATGTACATGAGCTGATAACCTATTAGTAGAGCAGCCAATCAAAGCTCGCGATTGCTCATAWCCAGTGGTTGTCTATATGCAATAAGGTCTATTTTTTCATTACTATGCCAAGATACATAACGTAATGTTATGATATTCAAAACCTCTTAAAGTCAGATCACCAGAAACGTAGAAWAACTATATTATAAGTGCGCATGCGCTATAGGAAACAGAGGGGTTCAATCAGTCATGAGTTGCCAATTCCCTGACTTTGATCACCCCAGAGGCAGTTTCAAGGTTCCATGTGTGATTTAAGCGTGCCCTGAATTTGATCAGCACAGAGGTTGTTTCAGAGTTTGATGTGTGAGTTAGCCATGCTCTGACTTAGATCAGCCCAGAGGTTGTTTCAGGGTTCCATCTGTGAGTTAGCCATGCCCTGACTTAGATCAGCCCAGAGGTTGTTTCAGGGTTCAATSTKTRAGTTAGCCATGCCCTGACTTAGATCAGCCCAGAGGTTGTTTCATGTGTGAGTTAACCGTGCTCAACTTAGATCAGTTTCATTACTGGACTCGGATTTATGAGTCGTCCATTATGGTAGTAGCTTGATTRCCATTTTTTAAAAGACAATTCGTGATTGTTTTCTTCTCACAGTTATCATCTTCTTCATTGGGGCTCAATTCTCGGGATATCACCTTCAGTTGATAACTRCGACGACTTGACATGGTCATGTTCGTTGACCTTAGCAACGAAGGTTGTGWKCTCAAACTRAACTTCCTTCCATAGCAACAGCTGGTAAGAGCCACCTTAAATCCACGGCGATAGTTCTCGCTAAAAATAGCATAAACAAAAGGGCTTGTGCAMGCATGCGCCCTCATAAGGAACATACAGACGAAAAATAACGAGTAAGGAAATTTGATGTGTGGGTTTGCTTCCCATATGAATGTTATAACTTGAACTGGAAGCCAGCAGATGACAAACGCTATWACAACTGTGATGAGCATCTTGACGACCTTCTTGCGAGACTCGATGGCTTTTTGATACTGTCTTTTATGACGGGTGTTTAATATTTTTCGCTTCCAAAGTCTCCTGCAAATAATCGCGTACATGACGGTGATTGCCAGAAATGGAATGCAGTATACTACTGCAAAAAGGATACCACTGTAGATGAGCGACGCTCGGAGATCGTCAAAGGCGGGCGCCCAGTCTTGTTCACATGATAGGTAGCCATCTTCTGTCTCCTTAATCTTAAAGGCATACAACACTGGTGCTGCAACTGCGGACGCGATTAYCCAAATAACTGGAACTATATAATAGAATACTTGCTTTGTGAAGACTTTTCGAAGTGGGAGTACGATGGCAAAGAAGCGATCTGCAGCAATAGCTGCTAGGGTCAGGACAGACACGGTAGCCAGAAAGTATTGACCAAAATTGRCAATTTTACAAAAGTACACGCCTTGACCGTAATTCTCCATCGCCCAGGTATAGAGCTCGAAAATCTCAACGAAGAACGGYGGCATGATGACTAAGATGTATAGCAAGTCTGCTACCGCCATGTTRACGATCAGGTAATTCGTGACGGTCTTCATCCTCGGGATGAGCAACACGGCGGCAATGACGAGGAGATTCCCCAATATGGCAAAGAATGTGACGAGTGCACTTGCAATTGTCTTGACGATCTTGCTTTCCATGGTTTCCATGGTGCTGAAGGCGGTTAAGTCGGAGGATTTATCGGCCGCTATAGCAGAGAATCATTCAAGGTTTAAAGTACTTCTTCAATGAGACAGTATTCTTACCTGTTTCTTAGTTTAGTTAGTGAGACCGAGTTAAAGACCTCCAACGTCAAACATCAATTATTGATAATCTTTAAGTGACCTCGAAATATTTTCTTGGCTAATYGAACGAGATAAGTATTGTGTCTTCTAAAAAGCTGTTTCTCTTGGTATGCTAAAACGGTTTAGTTTACATCAACTTAATACGAGTAAAAAAACTTGCTCTTCAGCTATCTCTATTTTTTTAAGTTGTTCTTTTTCAACCCAACGACACAGAACATACTTTCATGTCTAGTCGACTGCTATAGCTCAGTGTCTTCAAGGTCCGCGCGTAGCACAGAGTAATCGCAAGCACTTTGATTTGGATACCTTCTCATTCGAGGCAGATATWTATCCTAGAAGAGCTGTTTATTTGGTTCTTTCTAGACACTTAAGATCTAGAGTAACACTAGAAGTGTACCGGAACATTTCMTCCTGTAATAGAACAGAAAAACGACAATTAGAACACGGGATTCAGAATATTTTAGGTATTGTAACGTAATGGCTTGAACCTCTTATAGAACTATTAGCAACAGCCAATCATGATCATTTTAGCCAGGTTTTATTTTACTCGTATATACAAAAAAGATGTCAATGCGACAACACTAATTGTTTTTAAGTAAGTAGAGTTTAGTTAGTACGTAAAAGGTGAAGAAAATAACTCATTTTGTCTCGATAAGCACGAGAGTCGAGTTTTATAATCTTATGGTTAACAAAACAACTTCAGTTGAAGAGGTTAGGGATATGTGGGCTTGAACTGCAAAAAAAGAAAAGAAAAAAAACAAGAAGACGCTTCCCAAGTTCAACAGAAGAGTGTCAACAACTTCATGGTCACGCATAGGATTATGGGGCTGAAACCGCCTGCTTGTTGCGTCGGCTCCACACTCCTTTGCACCTACGAGCCCTAACCAATTTTCCTTTTAACTTTGGAAAATGGAAATATACCCCTTTACCCTTGGGGTAATGCTCTCCCATTTCAGCCCACGTGTCATTYCCTAGATTATCATTTTTTATTTAACAGTTGCGCATGAGAAGACACATGAATATGGATACATCTCAAACAAAGAATTTTATTGTCAAGAGAATGACGCGTGTGGTCTGTAATGGGAAAACTATTATACATCCAAGGTAAATATGTCTATAGACCCCTTGCAGCACGTCGGGAATGCTGCTCAATAGACCGTTTTCTCAAGGTTGCGTGCGCATCCAACTTGACGGGCAAAATTGAAAAACACAAATTCAGTAAAATCCGAGAAGCCAGTTTTATATTTAAAGAGAAGAATAATCAATTTTATGAATTCTTATAGAAATGTATGATAATTTTCATGATAAAGTTCATGTTCTGGTATCGTGGCCCGTCAAGTTCCTTAATTTTGAATGCGCGCGCCACCTTGAGAGAACGATCTATTTGGAGGACCTAACAATAGGCCTAGGGTTTCAATTTTAAAGGAGAATGAAATTCTTTTGTCAGTTCTGTTCTCCAAATTGAGCTCCTTTAGGTCAAAGTGCTTCAGCTCTCTCTAAGACTAAGGAGCTAAGATTTAAACTCTCAAATCATTCTACTCTGGTGCCAAATAGTATGATACTGGATTGGATCAAGCCGTGACAAATTTACAGACGTTTGTAGGTAGACGCTATACCCTCAGACACACAAACGTCTGTAAATGTGTCACTTGTCAACTAAGGTTTTCTTGACCGATATAACTTCTAACATAATGAATCTTTGTAGGTTTACTAAAGTGAAGGTGCTCCTTCCAGTGCTCGTATTGGTTTTTCAATTTGACTCATTTCAATTTTCGGCTGCCATTTTGGCAAAGGGTCTATTAAAATCGTGTCAAATTTTTATCAAACAACAATTATTTTCGTAAGTCAATACATTTTCTGTAAAAGCAAACCTCTTGATGTTYTGTACGCGTAAAATTAAAATTAACGTAAAATTAATTAATGATAATCAGTATTTTGTAGATAAAAGCAGGTACAGTATATATATTCAATCGAAGAACGCTTCAATTTGGAACAGTATTTTGATTGGTAAATTGGTTACGTTACCCGCACCCCCTCCCCCTCCCCCGTGAAGCAAAGCATTATGGACTTTGTGAAAGAAGTGGCAGCCATTTTGAATGACGTTTACTTAGGAAAAAAAGTATAAGCCAGTTTAATGTTCCTTATGCTATTACTTTTGGGCAAACGTATAACTGCAATCCCACCGCCGTCCACAAGCAATCGAGACGTGCGTCATACTAATCCAGCATCCGAAAGTTATAAAATAACTCCTTTCTTTCTCAAATCTAGAACCTTCCTTGTTTCGAAGTAACCAAGCAACGGGAAGTGTTCCCCGAAAAACCTCAAAAAAACAAATCAGGGACTTGAATGATACTATCTCTACAACCTTCATCTAATCGGTGTGCCCTCTCGATATTGATAATAAAGTAAAGGACGTCGATGCAAGATGCCCTAGGGCACTCGAACGTTCTAGAAGTTTGTTTCTTGGTAACTTTGTACGTCGATAACAACCCAATTGAGCAGAGACATAATCAATGAACAGTTTTATTCTTGTTTTACATCTATAAAAGACAAACTAAAAATGACATACAAAATGTCCGTAATGAACCCTTCTTAAAATTGTAATGAATGCGAGGCTATCATGAAAATACGAAAGAAATGTCACAAATTCCATCGAGAAAAAAAGCGCATCCAAGATACTTTTAAGGTTCCATATTTCGTAATAGGCCCCTTGCACTGAGTCCCGAGAGGAATTGTTCTGGGGGACAAAACAATGCGCCGTCTTTTCTTATGCAGAAAAAAGCCCTTGTTTTGCCCCAGAAGAATTCCTCTCAGGTCTCAGTGCAAGGGGTCTATAGCGACAGTTAATAGAACTTTCCCGAATTTGATTGAATGACCACGAAACGATGGAATGAAGTCGAGACTGGACTTGATTCTTTTATTCATCAAGTTCAACCTCTACTTGAAACCATTGTTTCGTGACCAGTCAAGTGAATTCGGGAAAGGTATATTACAGCCATGTCTTCAGTTATCAGTATTTTTCACCGAGGATTTCGCTCCTCAAGGCAAGAGTTGACCGAACTTGGAAAATTTCGCTGTGATAAACAATGCATCGCGCTCCTAGATTCCAAATCATCTGTTTGCTGTTGACTCGATTCGACTTGTGAACACTTTGACAGTTTGAAGTGGAAACGATACATTTTTTATATCAGTTAAGCATTTATTAAGTATTTATGCGTAAAAACATTCTAGAAGTTTCTTGGAGAAATTAAGGTCCTCAAATGAACCTTTTAGACTTTGAAGCAGGCTCTCCATCGCATGCACTCGATATTTACCAGTGTGTGTTTTGAGTTCAAAGTTCAATATTGAATAGAATATTACAACAATATAGAAGAGGTATAGTATGAAGAAATTGCAAGTGAATGATATCCGGGTTTTTGGTTTTACAAGCGCTTAGCTGTTTTTGTCAGGTTATTAAGAGTTTTTTAAGAGTCCTTTGGGGGGGGGCCGGGTTTTTGGTTTTACAAGCGCTTAGCTGTTTTTGTCAGGTTATTAAGAGTTTTTTAAGAGTCCTTTGGGGGGGGGGGGGGGAACACACAGACACTTTCAATCTTTCAAATAAGGTTTGGCTGTTTGAGACCGATCGAAGCCTTACGGCCAGAGAAAACTCTAAACACAGAAATAAAGTCTCCGTCACTCTCGTTTCGGTTCGAGATAGCACTAATTTCCAGACGTGTACATGAAAACAAAACGAAAATAAAAACAAAAAACAAAACAAAACAAAACAACAAACAAACAAAACAAAACAAAACAAAAAACCAGTTGAGTTCAAGACCTTAGTGAAAAATAATCAAGAAGCTAAGATTATAATTCTGCGCCATAAAAATAATAATTCTATAGAACAGTCTGAATGGGTCATCTTCATAGTCAGTCTGACTTTAATCTTCACTTGACTCTGAAGAAGACTTCGGCTCAGGTTGTCGAATAGTCAGTCACATCAAACAGTCCTTCTCAGGACTACATCCACCCGGATAATCATAATACTTCCATTAACAAAAAATAATAAGATGAGACACAAAATAGCTTACTTGGTAAATAGGTTGATGATAGTATGTTAGAGGTACGTAGATAAATAAGCCTGAAGCGAGATGACGTTTTACCCCCGACTATATACCATAATGGCTTTTTAAATTCTTTCATATTAAGATTTATGATTCCTTAGAGAATACAGGAACAATGGTCATAATTAAAGAACAAAAGCAATGTGAAAAAGATTATGGCCTAGAGGGGGGTAAAACGTCTTCTCGCTTCAGGCTTATTAAGAACATGAATAGCTTCATTATATATCATATAGAGAGAGCAGAATAGTTTGAATCTTGAGACACAAGATGTACTCTTTTTTGACCTGGATATATCAGATGAATCGCACACCTGTCAACCTCGTTAGTTGGTATCTACTTTAAATTTTATATATATATATTATCAAGCCGTTTTTTTTAAAGAAGGAAATAATACTCAAAACCATTGTGGCCAAAGTAATAAGGTATACACCTATTTAAATAAACGTCATGTTGTCATCGCAAAGGCAAAAGGCATTAGGCGATAAGCGATAGGACATAGGAGATAGGTCATTCCAAGATCCAAGAATAGCTGGAATGACTTGTGTTTCTGCTTCTTATTTTCGTCAAGAAAATGGGCCTTAGTGCCTTTGTCGATGACGTTTTTTGTTTGTTTGTTTGTTTGTTTGTTTGTTTTTTGAAAAAGGTGTTACCAACGAGTAAATATCAGTCAATACCGAAATATTATGATACATATAATATATAAATTGATACCGAAATTAAAAACAGTATAGAAAATTACACCAGTTTTCCTTGAAGATATTCAATACCTATTTGTATAAATTTCTGCTACACTAAAAACTTACCTCAAATGTATGGACAACAATTTTCTTACTTCAAAGAAGATGCTTGAACCGTGTCTACCCGCATTCACTATGGAAGAAAAAAAAAAACATCTGTCTGATAACGGTAGTTGCTCTTCAGCGCACAATGATTTGAAGAGAATATTCATGTACTTTATATACTATAGACAACAATTTTTGTACTTCAAAGAAGATGCTTGAACCGTGTCGTCGACCCGCATTCACTTTGGAAAGAAAAAAATAACATCTGCATCTGATAACGGTAGTTGCTCTTCAGCGCACAATGATCTAAAAAGAATATTCATGTACTTTATATACTAAGTTGATTAAGATGCACGACCCTATAAGCGTAAGCTTTAATTACTTATCGTGTGGAAATAAAGTTTATGTACTATGTATGTATGTATGTAAATAACTAGTTTTAAAATCCAACTAGCGGTGTATCATCAATGCTGCGTTCTGATTGGATAATCTACTAGCAGACTATAGGTAACAGCCTGTAGAAAAAAGTGCCGGCTTTGAGAGTCAAAAAATAGAATTTAACTTTAATTCAAGACTTGAATTATTTGCACCTAAATATCTGACGACTAGTTGGATTTGACTAAAACAATTAGTCCTCTCGTCCTATGGCCTATGAGTCAATAGCCCATTCGGCCTTCAGCCTCATGATCATAGGCTATTTACTCATAGCCTATTAGTTCTTGAGAAATAATTGCTATAAAATAGCTCATCTATAATTTCRAAAGGTTGAAGAGCAAGGAACTAGAAAACCTATTGGAATAAACTTGAGTACTTTTCAAACCCTTGGGGGTAGAATTTTATTTCACGTTTTAAAAAAAGAAAGATTGAGTGTTGACATTGATTGCAGGGCCGTAAGTAGGGGGGAGCACAGGGTGCACGTGTTCCCCCCCCCCCATAAAAGCTTCAAGTTCACTCATCCATCTCCTTTTTTTTTTTCCTTTTTGGTTCTGCTTTCTTTCGGTTACCTTTGTTTTTGTTGTTTTTGTTTTTGTTGTTTTTGTTTTCTTTTTTTTTTTTTTTTGGTTCTGCTTTCTTAAAAGAAACGATCAATGGTCCGATTTTATTCGATGTGCACCCTCCCTGTAAAAGTTCTGGTTACGGTCCTGGCCGATAGTTTCGTCGACTACAAACAGCAATAAATATCTCTATGGGCCCTTTTTTTTTCAAAAGAGAAGTTTATCTATAATTAGTTATTTCAAAAGCAAAGAAATCATGAGAATCTAAACACGAATAATCGGGGAGTTTTCACTTAGACCTTTATCGTAACCGCAACATAAGCCAGTACTACTTGCGTGTACACGCCGAACTTTTTCTGCTGTCGTTATCCTAAATTACAATTTTTCAAACTAGGCCTGGTTTTTTATTTTTGTGTGGATTTGACTTGAAAGAAAAAAATAGGCCAGATACCAGAAGTTCATTTTTCTGCAGACACTCAAACGTATGGTTTCTGATAAGTAGACAAGCTGAATGGATCTAAATACTTTATCTCTGAATAACTCCATACTTCTATATTCATTTGTGTAGTTTTAGTAACATAACATAATAAGAAATTGCTTTGAAAATGAACGGRAAAAAAGCTGACAAAATTGATTATTTAGCACCTCGCTTGTTGTCTGGGTCGTTGATGGCTGATGAAACATAACGAAAGACTTCTAATCAGGGAAATAAATTAAAATGAATTGAACTTAATTGAACTAAATTTCATGTAGGATAAGTGCACTCGCCTCTATTCTCTGGTGTAATTTAGTCCTGAACTCGACATTGACATGTGAGTCGAGTGTTGAGTTAGCCATATTTCTTTAACTCCCATTAACTTGTTTGCTTTTATAGTGTATTTATTGTGAATTTTCTAGAGTTTTTGAATTGCTCTATCTTCAAAACGAGAAAWATCTTGCAAAAACTCACATATTTGCTCACACCTTGCACTATTAAAGTTTTCCCTCCTTGTAGTGCTTTCAGATAATTACATGAATCTTATTCAGGACAAAGCCATTTTGAAGTTGACTACGACTATCTACTGAAGTCCAAAAAATATGATTCATCTAAAACGCCCTTCAGATAAAACCAAACAGAAAACATATTTTCAATTCACATCCAATTATTGATATCGTGGGAAAATCCGGACTGTTTTGTGCCTTAGGACAATGGTAAACTGAAAATAATTTCCTAATTTTTTCGATAAATGATTTTTCAATCAATCAAATACGAAAATTTTACCTTCGTTAAACGATAAATGGGGAGATATCATGTATTATTCACTTGTATATTTAGATGTTCAAAATCGTTAATATTCAATGTGGGAAGTATTTAATATTTTAACCAATCTCGACAATTTAAATCATTTGCAAAACTCACCWGTTAACTTCAGCGGTCTCTTTATTTTCTCAAGCTTTTTTCTCGCTAAATAAGGGGTGTTTGGCTCTATCGACCCTTCCTTCAAATGAATGCAATTCAGCGTTCGGCCGTCTTGGCGTCGTTTTTTGTATTGACGTATCAGCGTCTTTGTAAGTTATCTCTTCCTTGATCTTATTCTTGTCTTCTTTTTAATTTGGTTTAAGGAAATTAAACGAACAATAAAGAGATAAAATTCTTAACGAGTTTTGGTTAGATCAGTAGTTAAAAAACCGGACGAAGAGCAAAACACAATGAATCGAAGCTCAACAACAAAAACAAAAACAAAAAAAATTCGCGTGAATTTGAATCTTTCCGCTCACCGTTTACAACTCAACTACAATGCCTTTTGAAATCACACGATACTTTTGAATAATAATAAAGAGATAAAATTCTTAATGAGCTTTAGTACTAGATAGTTAAAAAACCGGACGAAGAACAAAACACATAATAAATCGAAGCTTAAAAAAAA